AACGTGTCTTTATTTTCTTGCTTCCCGGACAATTTTTATCACTTCTTCCGCTGTTTTTGCTCCTAGCTTAGCAAACTCACTAACATCTTTGACACGAACTTTCAATTCACTAAAAGTCCTCGATCTACTGGGATACTTCTAAATTCCACAGCTGATATACGCGTATACCGAAAATACACGTAAAATCCTAGATAATTACTGTCCAGTTACATCACTCCATTACTTTTTTACTTGATTAGTTTCTTCATTCTCAATTGCAACTGGCATATTATATGATTTGATAAGATCGGAATAAATGTGATAAAGAACTGATAATTTTGTTTTATTGCTATATCGGAATAACAGCGATCAAGGATTTGATAGCTGAATTTTGAATGACTTCTCATACATAGAAATAGCCTCTTCATGCTTGGCATGTTTATCATACGCATTTCCTAGATTGTTATATGATAGAGCAACATCGGGGATGATTATGACTTAAGACTGACGATGTAACTTTGAGTGACTTTTCATACATAGAAATAGCCTCTTCATGCTTGCCTTGTTTATCATACGCATTTCCTAGATTGTTATATGATAGAGCAACATCGGGATGATTATGACCTAAGACTGACGATGTAATTTTGAGTGACTTTTTATACATAGAAATAGCCTCTTCATGCTTGCCTTGATTAGAATATACAGCTCTTATGTTGTTATATGATACGGCAACATGGGGATGATTATGATCTAAGACTGACAATGTAATTTTGAGCGACTTCTCATACATAGAAATAGCTTCTTCATGCTTGCCTTGATCTACATATACAGCTCCCATATTGTTATATATTGCGGCAACATGGGGATGATTATGATCTAAGACTGATAATGTTATTTTGAGTGACTTCTCATACATAGAAATAGCTTCTTCAAGCTTGCCTTGATGTCTATGTGCATTTCCTAGATTGTTATATGATACGGCAACATCGGGATGATTATGATCTAAGACTGACAATCTAATTTTGAGTGACTTCTCATACATAGAAATAGCTTCTTCAAGCTTGCCTTGATGTCTATGCGCATTTCCTAGATTGTTATATGATCCGGCAATATCGGGATGATTATGATCTAAGACTGACAATCGAATTTTGAGTGACTTCTCATACATAGAAATAGCCTCTTCATACTTGCCTTGATTAGAATATACAGCTCCCATGTTGTTATATGATGCAGCAATATCAGGATGATTATGACCTAAGACTGACAATGTAATTTTGAGTGACTTCTCATACATAGAAATAGCTTCTTCATGCTTGCCTTGATGTCTATACGCATTTCCTAGATTGTTATATGATCCGGCAACATCAGGATGATTATGACCTAAAACTGCCAATCTAATTTTGAGTGACTTCTCATACATAGAAATAGCCTCTTCATGCTTGCCATGATCTAAATACGCATTTCCTAGGTTGTTATACGATGCAGCAACATGGGGATGATTATGACCTAAGACTGACAATGTAATTTTGAGCGACTTCTCATACATAGAAATAGCTTCTTCATGCTTGCCTTGATGTCTATATACCTCTCCCATGTTGTTATATGACGCGGCAACATCGGGATGATTATGACCTAAGACTGACAGTCTAATTTTGAGTGACTTCTTCTTCATAGAAATAGCCTCTTCATGCTTGCCTTGATTAGAATATACAGTTCCTATGTTGTTATATGATCCGGCAACATCAGGATGATTATGACCTAAGACTGACAATCTAATTTTGAGTGACTTTTCATGCATAGAAATAGCCTCTTCATGCTTGCCTTGATCTAAATATACAGCTCCCATATTGTTATATAATACGGCAACATCGGGATGATTATGACCTAACACTGACAATCTAATTTTGAGCGACTTTTCATACATAGAAATAGCCTCTTCACGCTTGCCTTGATGTCTATATGCCTCTCCCATGTTGTTATATGACGCGGCAATATCGGGATGATTATGATCTAAGACTGACAATCGAATTTTGAGTGACTTCTCATACATAGAAATAGCCTCTTCATACTTGCCTTGATTAGAGTACGCATTTCCTAGATTGTTATATGATCCGGCAACATCGGGATGATTATGGCCTAAGACTGACAATGTAATTTTGAGTGACTTCTCATACATAGAAATAGCTTCTTCATGCTTGCCTTGATGTCTATACGCATTTCCTAGATTGTTATATGATCCGGCAATATCGGGATGATTATGACCCAAGACTGACAATGTAATTTTGAGTGACTTCTCATACATAGAAATAGCCTCTTCATGCTTGCCTTGATATCTATATGCCTCTCCCATGTTGTTATATGACGCGGCAACATCGGGATGATTATGACCTAAGACTGACAATGTAATTTTGAGCGACTTCTCATACATAGAAATAGCCTCTTCATACTTGCCTTGATCTAAATTTACAGCTCCCATATTGTTATATAATACGGCAACATCAGGATGATTATGACCTAAGACTGACAATCTAATTTTGAGTGACTTCTCATACATAGAAATAGCCTCTTCATACTTGCCTTGATTAAAATACGTATTTCCTAGATTGTTATATGATGCGGCAACATCGGGATGATTATGACCTAAGACTGACAATGTAATTTTGAGCGACTTCTCATACATAGAAATAGCTTCTTCATGCTTGCCTTGATGTCTATATACCTCTCCCATGTTGTTATATGACGCGGCAACATCGGGATGATTATGACCTAAGACTGACAATCTGATTTTGAGTGACTTCTTATTCATAGAAATAGCCTCTTCATACTTGCCTTGATTAGAATATACAGCTCCCATGTTGCTATATGATCCGGCAACATCGGGATGATTATGACCTAAGACTGGCAATGTAATTTTGAGTGACTTTTCGTACATAGAAATAGCTTCTTCATGCTTGCTTTGATGTCTATACGCATTTCCTAGATTGTTATAGGACATGGCAACATCTGGATGATTATGACCTAAGACCGACAATCTAATTTTGAGTGACTGCTCATACATAGAAATAGCTTCTTCATGCTTGCCTTGATGTCTATATGCCTCTCCCATGTTGTTATATGATACAGCAATATCGGGATGATTATGATCTAAGACTGATAATCTAATTTTGAGTGACTTCTCATACATAGAAATAGCCTCTTCATACTTGCCTTGATCTAAATAGGCATTTCCCAGATTGTTATATGATACGGTAATATCGGGATGATTATGACCTAAGACTGACAGTTTAATTTTGAGTGACTTCTCATACATAGAAATAGCCTCCTCATGCTTGCCTTGATTAGAATATACAGCTCCCATGTTATTATATGATACGGCAACATCGGGATGATTATGACCTAAGACTGATATTATAATTTCGAGTGACTTCTTATACATAGAAATAGCTTCTTCATGCTTGCTTTGATCTAAATATACAGTTCCCAAGTTGTTATATGATACGGCAGCATTAGGATGATTATGACCAAAGACTGACAATCTAATTTTGAGCGACTTCTTATACATAGAAATAGCCTCTTCATACTTGCCTTGATTAGAATATACAGCTCCTATGTTGTTATATGATACGGCAACATCAGGATGATTATGGCCAAAGATTGACAATGTAATTTTGAGCGACTTCTCATACATAGAAATAGCTTCTTCATGCTTGCCTTGATCTGAATATACAGCTCCCATGTTGTTATATGACGCGGCAACATCAGGATGATTATGACCTAAGACTGACAATCTAATTTTGAGCGACTTCTCATACATAGAAATAGCCTTTTCACGCTTGCCTTGATGTCTATATGCCTCTCCCATGTTGTTATATGATGCGGCAACATCGGGATGATTATGACCTAAGACTGGCAATGAAATTTTGAGCGACTTCTCATACATAGATATAGCCTCTTCATACTTGCCTTGATTAGAATATACAGCTCCCATGTTGTTATATGACGCGGCAGCATCGGGATGATTATGACCTAAGACTGATAATGTAATTTTGAGTAATTTTTTAAACATGCATTCAGCCTCTTTATAATTACCCTGGCTATAGTAAACGATTCCTATCTTTTGGTATGAATTAGCGATACTCAGATTATATTCATCTCCATATCTTAATTTTATATTAACAGATTTCATATAACAATTTAATGCCCCATTCCAATCTCCTTCTTCTTGCTTAATGTCACCATATCTATATAAACTTTCCGCAATCATCATTTCATCTTTTAGCTTCTCAGCTATTTCTTGTGCTTTATCTGTTAATTGTTTGGCCTTCATACGTTCACTTTGCTGTAAATATATGCCACTAAGAAGCAGGCAGACATGATATTGAAGTCGATCAAGATCGATAGTACTTGTAGACATCGCTTGAATTGAAAGAAAACTCGCAAATCGTAAAATACCACCAGATTAAGATTACCAGATAGATGGTATATGGCTTCTTTTACATATAAAGAGTTTACTCCTGGTAATTGAAGGATATATAATCAATTCAAAAATCTGATGAAAATTAGGTAGCTTCGATATCAGGCAATCTATATTAAGTGAGCTTACTATACAATTTAACCTTGTAACTGATTATTAGAGTAAAACGAAAATTGATTTAATTATTGCATGTAACTTCCTTTACAGTAAAAGTTTCAAATTTATTCATCACTTAAGACTTCATTTTTCTTATAATATTCTACCGTAATGTTGCAATAACAGTTTTTGGGCGTCAACGAATAAAAGTTACTGTACTTAGAACCGCATGTGGTGTAATGCTGTCTGTCATGAATAATCATTAAAGTACAGTGTTTGATAATAATAACAGTTATATAGACTAGCTGAAACCTATGAAAGTTCCACTGCTGTTCGCAGCTGGAAATCCCATAACGGCAACTTAGACAGTAGCTTGGAGACGAGCCTATCATAAGAATACTGTACAATGTACACATACAGTACTGTAGAAAATATGCAAATCATCTTCGCCATATATGTAGTAATTCGGTCGATGTGGTCGGTCGGTTAAAGGTTAAATGTGTATACAAACCGCAGGGACTACTTGATACTTTTTCTAATACATATTAGACATACTATCAAACAGTATCGCCATGAGCAACTTATTGTATGTACCTTACAGTTATTGCTAACAATAACACTACTGGATATATTTATTTTAGCCGATGAGATATTATTTCTTGTTAGCCCATCATTGCAGGTAAAAAAATGTCTAGTAACTAGTACCATGCCCGTTCGATGAACGGGGAAGATTACGCCTATATAATTTCAGTAAATGTGCTTTGCTTATGAAAGAGTTGCCCTCAGCGCATACAATTTACATAACGTATCGAGTTCATAAATTATTCACTATTATTTCAAGGTAAATATAAGTAAGAGTAAATATATATTGAAGCTGTGAAACGTAGATTTTTATCAATTCCTTTCAATTTTTGAAACGTAAGTGTGCGAACAACGGCTATATCACTTTTAACTACAGATTTTAAAGTTAAAGTGGGATTGGGCAGAGAGTTACAGTCTAGACTGACCTGATGAGAGTCCTATGATATAAATCTCCCCCAAATTTACTCCTTTCTGAAACTCTTAATACACACAGTAATTAATCATATAAAACTGTATATGTTAGTACAGTATAATTCACTATTAATGTGCCCTTTCTGCATTGAGTATGGACCTGATAGAAGCAGCGACTCATTAAAAGAGTATAGTATAGCATACTATACATGTATACTGAATAAAATATGTAATATAAACGACATAAATGCTCCGTTTTTCACTTGCTTAGCATGTTTTTTATATGCTTATTCTGTATGAAATTAATGGCGCAGTATCTGACATTTAAAATATTTATCATGTTGAAACATGCAAAGCACGTAGAAAACATGTAAAACGAAGCAAAAATGGAATAAAGCGACGTAATTGTTTTCTGTTCTCCTTATTCTTATATCTGATAAGACGCTATACAGTACAGTATTATTAGCTTTCTACATACTGTATAATATCATTTTCTATACCGATTTACAGTTCGTTACTTTGTATAACGAAGCGTAAATCGGCTATGTAGAAAGGAGCATAGTTACCAAAAAACAAGAAATAACATCTCATTGGTGAGTATAGTTACCAAGAAGCAAGAAATATTTATGCATGCAGTTTATATGTCAATGATTCCCTATTATATATTATTTATTTTTACTAACTACACCCTATCCTTCGAAAGTATGCCGAAACAATCCAAAATGACCAATTCGTATTATAAATTTTTATTTATCTCATATTAAGTATCGTTATAGTACAATATGTCATCTGAGTTAATTATTTTGCCGATCAGTTAATGAGTCAATTTTCTCTTGACTTTATAAATTAGAGAAATTCGACGCTTTCGAAATTTACAAAATGAATTATGATGACATATAAGTATCACAGTGTAAGGCAATAATACAAATTACATCAATTTTTATAGTATAAATACAAGTATTGATACATTCTTAATGTATTACATCAGTATTATATTGATACTGATTTTGATAAATGAAGTGGACTAATAATTTTACCAGTTGCCAACATCTTAATAATTTGCATAAAATCAATTGTATAATTAAAATTATTACTGAAATCTCGTATACGATACCATGGTATCCAAAAGATATTCCATCCAATATTCTTATTCTATTTTAACAAAATGACCATACTTATATACAAAAAGAATAAATTTATTGATAGTTGCTCTAATATACTATACAGAACACAACATAATTAGAAGTACTGCGGGAATCGAATATAGCTTACTTTCAAAAAGAAACATTGCGCTTCTATTTCATTTCTAAATTTAAATATCGAAATAATAAATGGAATATTAGATTGTTAAAGTGACAATGTAATCGATTAGTCAAAGCTTAAAAATTAAAACAGTAACTTTTCTAAATAAATAGCACATAAAACTATACAGTTATCATAATTCTAACCCGGGAGTGAACGTATGCCTAAAATTCGTTACGCTACCAGTGTCGAAAAAGGTACGAATGTTGTACTTTTGAAATTCGATCCCATCTATGTTAAGTCAATTAAAAATAAGAAATCCTACCAGCCTATTGTAAAATTTGCAAGAATCGTAAAAGAACCTATCAACTCTCCACAATTTCCTACCTGATAAACAATTAGGGTTAAGAATCTTTAGAAATAATACATAAAGTAGAAGATGGTCAATGATCCATAAAAACCCGTTTAAACAGCAGTAAAGGCTCATGATCGACAAGCGAAGCTAATACAAATAAAGACAATATTATCGTGATGACATATTTGAGAAATTATAGATGTAGCGTAAGTATTATTTTTGATATACTCGTAGGAATTACCAAATGATAGTTGGCAGAATGGCTATAATTAGCACTATAATTTGATTGTACTTACGGTGGTAAAGACGATGTAGAACACTAATGTCGTAGGCAAAAGAAAGACAAGGATGGTAAATAGTAATGTGCCTAGAAATAACTAATGAAGAGGCCAATTTAATGTCCTGTGAATACTTATTCAATAATTAGAGATGATAAATATCTAGGTTTACGGTGACTAGATATAATTTGTGTTTGTAAGTACTTTTGTAACAACAAGAGACTAAATTACTTACATATTTATTTTAAAGATTACACTTATTGTCGTATCGATTACTACCGTGAATAGTGGTCAAAGCTTGACATAAAAACAACAGCGAAATCGCTTTAAATTACCTGATCAATATCATACGTATAAGAATCCATTCGGTTTTTTAATACATTCCATTTCTTGCCTAGAATACGAAAAAGAATATTAATTTAATGCTACCCTATCAGGCATACCATCAATCATCGATATGGGTTAGGTAAATCTTTTACCTCGACATAAATGGTATAATGAGGATATACTAAATATTTGCAAGCTGTAGATTCTAGTTGATATAAAGCAAGAAGAATATATATTTTAAAACTTATTTCTTCATATATTTTGAATGTGATTCTTGATTACTAATGCTAAAAATGAAATAGTTGACGAGATATACCTAGCAGCGTATATGTAAAAACAATACATATGAAAAGTTAACAAAGATAATGCGTCGGCAAGTAAAGCAATGAACAAGGAAATTCCAAGAAATGACGAAGAGAACAAGACTATGATTATCGCATTCAGATATCCCCTCATGAATTGCAAATAGCCTAAAATGAGTTAAATGTAAGATAATATAGGTTCAAAACAAGACCTTAAAAGAGAATCATGCTTAAAATAGAATACTGTAATGTCTCTGATGCTTGCTTTAACAGCAGACAAGCACCTCAAAAATTGCGTAATCTTAAGGTTAATTGGTATGATCACGTAAAATCACTTACCATTCCAAACATAAATATGATATAAAAAGAAATTTGCTAAAAATTCACTCAAAGGCTTATTGAGTTTCAATCCCACCGGGGCACCCATCAACCAATTTAAAAGTTTTGTTAACGAATTGACAGTAACCTATATGTAATAATTGAAATAATCATAATCGTAGATTCTTCCTGATCAGCAATTCGATTACGCCCAGTATACTTTAACATTAATTGGGTACGTTTAGAAGAATTATTAAACGCGGTAATCATGATGTATTGGTATTTTTAATATATAATCATCGATTATTGCTATTTCTGAATTCAGGCTTGCTCATACTACCTGTGTTAGATTCATAAAATGAGCTGAAATTTTTTCCACTAAATCGTATGAAAAGAATAAATAAAAGAAAGCCAAGCCTAGTAGGATATCCAGCATTAACGTTATAGCATAATTACAGAATCTGAAATGAAAGATAAACTTGAGTGGTTAATCATAAAGAAATCCCGATTGTGCCAGCATAGTAAAATAATCGCCTAAAATATCGATTCTTGCTAAAATAATTGTTATATAATCTACTGGCTTCGAAGTTACTCTAATACAAGTTCTGAATGCAAACGATATGCTGCCGTTATACATTGAAACTTGTTAAACGTGATATTATAATATATAACCGAACATAAGAACAATAGTTCTACAAGCATTTAAGATTAATTATTATCGACATTGAAGTTGGAAAATCTCATAATTTTTTTTAATCTGCTATAAGAAGCCAAGACTAGGTAAAAGAGTCAAATAATTCAGTGATAGGAGTTTATAGCTTATTAATTGTATGACTAACAAAAATGGCGTCAGATTTGTAATATACAGCAATACAAGATACTGTACATAGCAGTTAATTTTGCTACAAAATACAACCAATCCCGCTCGATTAAACCTACATCATTTTTTGAACAGATTTGACTTGTGATACCCGATAATCGTTGGTAAACTCCTGTCTTGAATGATAGAGATGTTTAAACTCCTTCACTCTTTTGATAATACGATAAGCTAGAAAATAGGAAAAAATTAAAGCTGTATCTAATTCTATAAGTTGCAACACTTTTACAGGTATTTATCTTTCAGTAGAAAATTTTAGTTATATCTCACACATAAATAACCAACCGTTACCAAATGTACTTGATTAAATGAAGCAGTCAAGGAAACTAGACTATCTCTACTCTGAGGTGCCCAATCATTTCACTATATTTTTATTCCCCCTGTATTCATGATCATCAGTTACTCTATACTGTACATGCAGAATATTTAATATAACATACTAGTAGATATTGGCAGTTTTAAATTAAAGCATCGAGTTGTAGGATATCATATAGGTATTCAATATATGGGCTCCTGCTTTACGTATTACTGGAAAGTATTTACGAGTATATCATGTCAACAGAAACATTATAGATGTACCTGTGCTAGAACAGCATGCAATTTGGTTGACTGTAAGACCTCGAAAGTACGATCTAATATCAAAGAGATCATGTAGATCTTGTTAGCTTAGCTCATAGAATGAGTCAATTTATTTATTAAAACAACGAGCATTAGGCGATAACTAGAGATATTCTATTAATAATTGCCTGACTTTACCTAAATGTTTGCAAAGGCGATTGTAGATACTTGCATAACGGTAAGGTTATCGTCCGAAATTTAAGATAGATGTAGCTGACAAGATGTAGGAACCAAGTTAGAAATAGGAAGTCCGCTATATGAAACAACTGATTTTTTGTTGGAATAGGAGCACGATTAAACGAAAGATTTTGTGTCATACTAATATATTGAAGACAGCTCTCCAATTCCGATGGACAATGCTCAGATGCACAGTGGTGATTAATATCACTTGCTTCCATGACAACTTGATGTAGCGATCGATTGGACATAAATGTTCCTTTTCCATTTTGTTGGTATACAATCAATAAGAAGGATAACTGGCTATGATGATGCCATTGAACATAACAATATCGAGATTTCCACGAAACCTGTATAAGAATCCATTGACGATGACGTCTGAATTGGCGCGTAATATTAGGTTGATCTTCTTCATCTTGATTGTAGATATAACCTAATACAACTGGAGTTTGCTGCGTCGTCGATGGATCGAGCTTGGACGATGTAGCATCACTAAATTGACGATCGTACGATCGATGCACCGATGAAATACAAATAGTCTTAGAATTCACCGTAAAGCCAAGTAAATAACCACTCGAGCAATTACAATATTGTTGGGGAAAGAATACCTTCAAGCAAGAATTGCTGATGCCATCATCATTACTCTGTCTTGAACTTGTTGCTGTAGACATGTTGGTGAGCTCAACGACAGTAGACGATAACCTCCAATAAACGCCAGTGATAGTTATTGAATAATAGACGAATCAACTTGGCATGGGAGTTATTAATCCCTTCAAATACAAATCAAACAGCTAGAAATGTTGATATCCTAGTACTAATCCTCCTTCCAGGCCATTCCAGCTGCAAGGAGACTAACGAAAACAAGAGGAGAATCACCTTGCAAGATCATTGACGAAAGTATCCGTCGGATGCCTGTCCGAGAATCAGTTTCGGAAGGACAGCGTGCAGTACACTTCCAATCGAATCTGTAATTAATTATGCTGTATATGCGGAAAATGGCGGTAATATAGACGAGTATGTATGTATATATAATATATATATATATATATATCCCAATTTACAGAATTATACTTAACACTATAAAGGATATCTCTAAGTATAAGTACGAAGTGACAGTGATAATTAATATACTGTACTATATAATGTAAATGAAGTCAAGTAAAAAGTGCAAGTATATATAGAAATATTACTCAAAAGCATGGAAAGACCGATAGAATCAAATGTTAATTATTATATATTTAATAGTAAGTAACGTAATAAGGAATTACAGTACGCCAAGTGTAATAAGCGGACTTTATACTAGTCTTTAATAACTTTTTGTTCAGTTAATTGCAGAATTTATTCTTATTTCATTTAAATCAGTATTCGATAATTAGTGTGATAATATGGACAAAAAATTAACATTAGAGAAAAATGAGGTAAATCAATATTATTTCTCAAATTGCCCCTGATTGGGTATAGTGAATAACCCTACTAGAATCCATAGAATCTATATATTAAGTAACGCGAGAACATCTGTACGCTATTTAATAATTTCAATGAAAAAACAACGCTAACATTTCCGTAATAACTCAGAAAGCAATTTAAAAAATGAGGATGTAATCGTGGGTGTTAGATAATATATTCAATTTCATTAAGCCGCAAAAGCATTTTTAATGTTTGAGTAGTGTATAGTCCTAGAGATTTGTTTCTTGAATTTGTTGATATTATCTGTTATTCATTTAAAAAACTCATGTAATAACCTACGGTTGCTAACGGAGCAAACAGCCCAACGTTACATGAATATAGGCAGTCCCTTTTGAGATACATTTCTATGCATAGTAGAATAATAATTGTTAAAAACAGCGTTTACCTGTATAAAACAAGTTTTAATTATCTATTCTATTCCATTATATTATCGATCGTATGACAGCAATTATATATTGACTCAATAGATTACAACAGTTTTTATTAAATGGCGGTACTACCAAAATTCTCTTTCATCATACTATACTGTATATAGTAAAAACTACAGCAAGATTTTCGTAAAATTCTATGTAATATAAAATCAAGAGTGTGAAATTCATGCATATGATTACGATATTTACGCCATCATAGGTTCAAAATCAAATTGATACAAAAGGAAATGATAGACCTTACTATCACTGGATAAATATTATACAGATATCCAGTAGATGGCATATACAACGTGTATAGTCGATATAGCTATGCTAATATGAGTAATATAGCTTAAGTGTGTAGGCTTACTGTTTAGTGTATACCACAACCAACAAGACTCATCGAATATTTAAAGTATCTGCAAGCATCATTCAGTAATATACAATATACAGTATACAATCACTAGAAAAATATGGCCAACCCCTCCAACTTCATTACCAATGACAAAAATAGGATGTATCTAAGGAAATGCATTATAGGGTAGAAGTGTTGTTTTAAGAAAAGAATCGTATTTTGCATAGATAATATGATAAAATAACGATATCAATAACAAATAGAACATATTTACCAATAGTAATATTAGTATACTGTACTACAATAGTAACAATGCACTTTTGCATGACCTGAATCAGTAGGAAATTGGTAAATTTTCCTTCGCGACAAAAAATAGGTATCAAATGCTACAAATTAATATCGCGCTTAAAAATCAAAAATAATGAACCATTTATCAATCCATCATTATTCACTAAAATTTAGAATGGATTAATCACTAATAATATACGAGATGTTAAAATGTATAATGAGTCTTTTGTAATATGACTTATCTAAATTCTTTTCTTAATTATATGCAAATTAGGAAGTCATTATGTCTTATTATTATAAGTCCGTGAGTATTTTAATTAATTAGTGAATTGATATCATACTATAGTAGATTTTAAACCCTTAGATACAGCATACTTAAAATACAAATAAATATTCCTTTACTATATTTCTACCCAGGAGTTAAGAATTACATTAGTACAGTGTGTAACATAAAACCAAAAACTGTATTTGGCCATAGCCGTGATCAGTAACGACCTTTATCTACATAGCACCAATAGTACAAGTACACCATTTCATCATTACAACATTTCGTCATAACAACAATCATCCATGACGACTTAATTTAAGTACAACGATTATTTTACGTCATACGAGTAAACTCGTAAAGTCCTTACTTCATATTGCTATTGCACTTCCAACACACATCACTACTGCACCTAGAAGCAATTGCTAAACGTACTAATACGCGTAAATTCTGCTATAAAGTATTATTAGCATTTCGGTAATTTCGTGGAAGATTTATTACTTCGCCTTAAATATTATTTATAAATTAACTCCGATCATTTAGCAAGATGGTTGTAATTGTTACAACAATACACCTTATCAACGAAAGTCCGGTAGCAAAATTATTGGCTTGGATAGGCGGTCCTCTCGGTGTAGCGGCTAATCTATACGTTTTACTCTCATGCATTAGAAACATTCATAAATCTAGCGTAACTTCTAATTCCAATACTTCTAATCAATCACTGAATAAATTAAGTATTATTATGAAGAAGAGTCGTATTGGTAAAGTACCATCGATATTTTTCATTAGTTTAAGTCTAGGAGATCTGCTTATGTCGACTTATTTAGTGATATTGAGTGAATTCGATAGTTATTACTCATCTATGTCAATTAATGTTTCACTTATCAATAGTAATAATCTCATCGATAACTTTTCAATAAATCTACACAACTTAACATACGAACAGGGTCAAATCATCGAAGTTGAACAGTTAAAAGTACTTACAACTTGGCTACTATCATCAAACTGTCTACTTTTACGCTTTTTAACAGCAACTGGAACAAGTGTTTCGATTGGAACTACCTTGGCTATTACATTAGATCGATACTTTGCAATAGTTTGTCCTTTAAATGTTGATCTTCGATTTACTAAATCTCGCGCTATTAAAGTTTGTACTTTAATTTGGTGTTTCGCAATTGGACAAGGTATCATAGTGATCGTGATTGCAAAAATTACCGTACTGTATGCCACTGATATAAACTGGTATCCAAGATTATGTATCATCGGTAATATCATGAATACAGGTGTAAGAATATTTGCAAGTATTATTTCACTTATTTGTGGCTTATGTCAGCTAACTGTTTGCATATTATATTACAAAATAATAAGAACTCCAGTGTCGTTAACAGCGGTGAGTAATGCTAAGCAGCGGCA